GTAAAAATATTAATAATAAAATAAAAAGGAAATAATTAAATCTATACAAAACCAGTGTTCAGCTCCCGGTATGACAATCACATCACCAGCAGGCACTGGGGAAGTCCTAGACTGGATTCAGTGATGGATGGGAACTGGATTCTGGATCTGGATTCAGGATCGGGATTGAAGGCAGACCAACAGCCAGAGTCGTCCTCAGATGCTGGCCATTGAAGAAAGAGAGCTGACCCTTTGATGCCTCAGCTTTTATTCTGAGTGTGATGCAGATGGGATGGAATACACTGTTGGTCAGTTTTGGGTCACCTGTCCTGTCCACTCCTCCTTGCAGATGGGACCCCTCTCCTTCAGTCAGCTGCCCTCGGGTGTTACAGCAGTAAGTCTAAGCAAGAGCCTCTCTGCATACCATTCCTTGGCATCAACTAAAAACATCGGTCTTGCCACTCTGAGAGTGAACAGTTTCTGCACAATATGCGGTTAATTTCAGTAGTTAGGAGAGGCTTAGCTAAAAAGTAAAATTACTGAACAGAAAATTGGTTCTGTTTTACCTCAAACCAGGACGGGGGGCTAATCTTGGCAGAATAAGACAGTAAGGTGCTTCTAATGGTATTGTTCCTTTTTGCAGTTGCTGTGGACGTTCGCCTGCCTTATTCAAAGACAGGTTGTGCTCGTGGGGTATGGAGGAAGCAGGAAAGAAGGAAGTGTTGTTTAGGAGAACTAAGCCAAGTTGAGTGGCAGCAAGAAGTCCCGTAGACTTGTTACAGAGTCTGTCTGGATATAACAGGCACCAGGCCACAGGCAAGCCAACACCAGGGCACGTGCGTGAGGTGATGGGCTTTGGGCAGCAGCGTGCATTGCTGTACCTGCTTCTTCATACCCTCCACCCATCAGAATTGGTGGTAACAAATAATGAGAGAAAATTACTGGGAACCAGTGCTACCACTGAGAGCTGCCAAGAGTTCTGTGTGGGCCATCAGGCAAATAGCAGCTGATGCTCCAGCAGGCTCATTCAGTGGTCTCTAGCTTTCCTAACCTAGCTCTTTGAACAGCAATTCCTGCTTATTTAGGGAGAGAAAATTGTCTGAGAGCATCGTACTGGCTGGTACGTAGCCCTGAGCTCTCAGACTGCCACAAGCAGTGACGTGCCTGCAGCTCGAGTTTGCAGGTTGAGGCGATACCATTGCTTGTGTCGAGCGTCGTTCTCCTAATGTGGACACAGCTCATCACTTGAGCTGAGCGTGCCGTGTCTAACAATGCCACAGCAGTATTGAGGCCAGAACAGTGCCAAAAGTAAGAAGGTAAGTTTAAAAAAAACCCCTAAACACATTCAACTTAAAGCTCGAAGATTCTTACAATCTTCTTTCAGAGTCTTCGAGAAGTTAATCGTTTAGCTTTTTCCTCTGAGTGTAGTGCTTTGACACATACACGCACTCACTCCTCCTACTTGTGTGCCTCAACCTCATGTGATGTATGGGAGATGTTCTGGTAGGAGCCAGACACAACTGATGATAGCAAAAGGAAGTAAGAGAGTTAGAAATCTCATTGGTGCGGGTAACAATCACAGGGGAGAGAGCTGTATGGTGAGCTGGGACAGTCGTGCTGGAATAAGCTCTTCAGAGGGCTTCTTCCACAGGGCTAGATGAAGCTAGAGCACAAGGATGAGGCGAGAAGTAGGAAACATCAGATGAAACCACGTATATTTTAGATAAGACTGAAGACTCCTGCACAAACACGGCTGTTGCAGTATTTGCAATGGAATGACGACATCATCCACGGGACTAATTTAGATTTTATTCTGGTATTTCTCAAATATAAAAAGTCAAAATTCTTACATCAATCTTTAAAGAAAATCCATGCAAGCAGGTCAAAATGTTTACAACTTAATTCCCCCCAACCCCCACCCCCTTCCCTTCAGTTTCAGTTTCAGAAACCATGTTGGTAAGTAAACCAAGTGTTTGCCTCTCAGTTTGTTTTTGGTTGGTTTTTTTTTTTTCTTCCCCTCACAGCACATTGTTAACAGACCAATACTTGGCTAAGTCAGGGGTGCAGTAAGCACCAAAAAAAGATTTTGCACTTTAACAGCCTCTCTGCAATACCTCAGTATTTCCTGTGGTTTCACTTAATTCTGGCTCCACGTGACTTTGAACTTTAAGGCTATTTCTATTTGATACCATCATAATCTACCTCATGATAACCTCAAAACCTAGCAGCCAGGGAAAGCAGCAGTACAAACTAGAATTTTTGAAAATTGCAGGTGACAGCCTGTCTCTTCCCTTTCTTCTCTGGAGAACCAAATGTGGATACACTGTACAGAACTTACGGCATGAGAAAAATCCCAAATCTGCTCATGCATCTAAATAGAGATGCATGTAAAACCAAAATGCTTCTACATTTAAATCGACAGGTCGTAGAAAAAAAACTTTAGCCTTCCTATTCTGATTTTTACTTAGACCCTTTCTGTTGAAGTTTAGTGTCAGATTTCATTAGGACTGAAGCCGTACTGCTGCCTGTTTACTACCGTTGTTCCCTGGAGCATAACTGAAGTATTTTCAATTTACCTTTACAATTCACAGAACATTTACCTTTGAAAGGGAGTAGAAGTCAAACCAAGCAATAGAGCTTCATTCTGAAGGTTGCATAGAGACTGAAGAGATTTATACAACAAATGCCATTTAAAAAAAAAAAAAAGTATCTGTCTGGCACTACTGAACAGCTCAAATGTGTGTGACCAAAAAATAACCAAAATATTTATAGGCAATCAACTCTGAGTTTGTTAGCAACAGCAATACTGTACATTTTTACATTATTATCAAATACATAATTCAAGAGTTACAAAATAAGATCATGCATTACCACTAAATCTCATACAAGCTTGGATTGGTTTCATTCCAAGAATCTGAAACTGAGACAGAAGCATTTTTATGAATAAGAACTCAAATTCTGGATTCTTGTTTTAGCTTTCACAGATTCTATATAATCTTGTTACAAGAAAGCCTGTACAAGTTTGCTCAATTTAAAGCGTTAAAATGACTACTGAACAAAAAAGTGAGCATCAAAGTGATCAAAAAAGGGAGCTAAATTATTCATATACTCCTTTAAAGGCAGCTGTAGAGCCAGAGGTACCCTTGCATACTGTGGGTACGATTTTAACAAAGATCGGACATTCTTCAACATGCTCAACTCCACCTTCTCCTGGTTTGCCTGGCAAAACAGCGCTCTTGATAGCTAGACCATGCAGTTTAAGGAAGTGAGCCGAGCAAATGGTGTCCCAGTCTGGATTCAGTTCAGTGTAAAGTACGCACACACACTCGTGCCTGCTACTGGAATATCAACACTCCTTCCTCAGCCCCCACCTCGTGCCTGAAAGGAGGGATAAGCTGTTGGTAATACTTCCACCTTTGGGTGCCCCTGAACAGAGTTGTGTGTGTGTTCTTTCCAGTTCTGGAAGTGACCCGGAATAGGAGACACAGGGATTGGAAAGCAGCATCCTACCCAACATTTCAGAAGTCTTCAGCTTTGTGGCTCATGCCTCTTGTCAGTAGTATTTATGCCTCTTCAAAGAGAGCAGCACTAAGAGATCAGATCATCTGTCTCCCTAGTTTCAATGCATTTACATATGGCACAAGATTGGTTTTCTAAGGAGTAACTTGTGGCAACAACATTTTTTCCTAAAAAAGTGTAACAGCACAAAAAAGTTTAATTTATAGCAGCATTTTACACAATTTGTGTTAAAAAAGTAGAAGTTAACCATTTGTGTGTTGAGTAACAAAAGGTTTAAATTACATTTATTTTCCATTTTACACTCACTATTTACTAGTTGGACTATTTACAAAGGTTCAAATGTTGTGTAAAGAGAATGAGCTTTACCCAGAATAAACTTCACACGTGAGGTAATGGTCTACCTCAACCTCTGTTTTGGCTGACTATAGAGGACGTACAGTTGGGTTTAGATCCTAGAAAAAATTCAGAATTAGGATGTTCGTATGAGTTAGATTGTGTTCTTGTAGAAGAAACCACACACACACACACACACACAGAGGAGAGAGTAATCCCATGGTAAAAACATTAAGACCAACAGTGGATTTCATTTTCATCTTTTAGACTGAAAAGAGGAGAAAATAATTAAGAACAGGGAAGTTGTCAGCTGTACCTCATTTATTCCAGGTAAGTTTTATCAAGAGGACAGCTTTTAATTCAAGAAGCTAAAGCAATTGATGTTAGAACAGTGAAACCGAAGTATTTACGAATTAACTTAAAATTGGGGGTTTCAGCACACCTTTAGAGTAAGATAGAGGAGTATTATTTCTCTATTAGTCCACCTGTCTCCAAGCCCAGGAGGTGGCACTACTAGCCCCTGCTGTGCAAGACACATCAAGGCATGCTTGCTAATAGAGCCCTCTAATGTAAGGGTGTCCCTTGGGTAAGTCTTACTTTCCTCTACACATTTTTAAGTGACAGCAGGCTGCGGGCACACTACAGTAAAGACGCTTCTCGTTGAAGATTAGAAGTTTTTAGAACCTGCAGTGTAATTACACCGTGAACAAAATGCATCAAAACGCTAATAAGAAAAGAAGTGGAGGAAGAGGGATTTACAATGCTTTTCATGTAAGTCTTTTCACAGCTCATCAGCTGGCCAAGTAATGAAAGTATGGTGGATAGTTTTGGTAGTTGCAAGACAAAAAGTTATTGTTCTTGCTCTAGTTATACATTACATGAAGATTGCATAGGACAAGGCAACCTTTTGGATAACTGAGGCAAGCAGTGCTTAGCGTCGGCATCCTTCGCTCTCAACGGGCTGAATGTGGTTTAGTGCTCTATTGTAGTCACACTTACGCATCTCTGCCTTCAACACGCCCATTTACCCAAACAGTGCCATCTTAAGATCTTAGCGTTTCATCGGTGGATACCAAGTAAGAGTTTAGTATAAGACTATTTGCTCAAGCTTTTTTCTAAGCAAGTACTCTTGCGGAACTACTGACTAAAACTGACAAGTCTTAAATAAGCTGAACACCACTGAGATGCGTATTTTATTTTAGCAGATATGGAAATTTATATACTCAAGTTTCTTTTTTTTTTTTTTTTTAAAAATGGCCTATCAAGGCATCTTAAAAAAAAATCCATATATGGCTTTGGTTTGCTGAAATACTATTTTACATTGTTAAAAAGGAAAAACGTTAAAATAAATTTGACATTATGACACATTCACATATTTCACTTAGAATTGACAGTTATACAGATGCCTACATGTGATCACAGATGTCTCCCCTTGTGATGACATGAATAAAAAGGTAATCCAAATGTTTATCTCACAGTAGAGGGCAACCCAGAAGTCTGTGCAGAAGTGACATATAAGGAGTTATTATCTGGAAGAGGGGGAACCACAGAGTTTCCATTAGTGGGTGAACAGCTCAGTTTCAGTTTTTCCAAGTACTCTGCATGAACAGGCTTGTGACACTGAAGAACCTTGATTGCATCTTCTACTTTAAACCATTCTCTTTTCCTTCCTAAATGAGAATAATCCACAAAGAAAGAGTTACAGATTTGTAACAGCACCATTTGTTGCTATCTTATTCACTTTCTCATTTCTTTTACTTTAGAAGTTCAAGTTGTCAGGCAAAGAAAAAAAAAAAAAGATACAGAGTGAAAAGATCTTGAAAGAGCTCGTGAACACAACAGATCCACTCAAGTTTGCTGACATGAATTCATAATAGAGCCTTTCAGACAACCCTCTTGAAGCAGATACTGGGCAGGAGATCATATGACTGTGCACGTGCTCCAAAAGCCTCACCTAGTCCTTACAGAAAAGGGTATTGTTATTTAAATGACTTAATACTGCCTTCCTACATTGTCACACCTAGCACAAAACCAATCTGACAAATGAACGTGCATGCAGTTACAGCAGAAGAATGGCTTGGTGTGATGTAGAAAGCAGCGTTCCATACTCAAAACACATCTACATATGGAGTTACTCAGGTTAGCCCTAAGTTTTCAGAAATAATGTATCTTGTACCAGAGATGTTTTTAAGTTCAAAGACTTATCGTGGTAAGGTAGTCCTAAGACCATCTTTCTTATACAGGTAAGTCCTTAAAAATTAGAGGCCTCTGAAAATACTTACAGACAAGGTCAACAATAGTATTGTTATAAGTGGGTACACTTAATAGGCTGCACTCCCCACAACTTGATATTATCAGAAACAAAACATTCTCTCTCCACCTGGATATTCAAGGACAGTTTTGAAACTACCTTTACAGTTACATGCCATTTGCTCAGATTAATAGTGCTAAGTCTGTGAATGTTAACACTCCTAAAGCACCACACCTCCTGAAAAAGGTAAATCACAACCAAAGTAGGATGTCATTTTTTATACCAATTCTTAGTTAACTCAGATTTCAGCTGGACAAGTACACTGTTTTGTTTGTTTTTTATTTATTTTTTTTTTTTAAGGACAAAACCCAGTTAATTCAAAGTAGAAGATCCATACATCATGAAGTATGTTAGTCTAACTAAACTGCATGACATTGGTATCTGTATGACATAGATGTATATATAGGAACCTCTTAAGGTCAGCACTGTCCGTTCTGAAAAATAAGGCTAAGGTGAAACTAAATACTAGTGATTTTTTTTTTCCTCCCTCCTGGGAAAATCAGGGGAAACTTTCCACACTTTTTTTCCAAAGACATTTTCAAAAACACCCTAGAGTATCAGACAGCAAAACATTCACTTTTGAAGGAAAAAATGATTAATCAGTACAATATTTGGCCTAAAACCAAAATTAAGAGCTGTATCAGCAACTAATCCAGTTTATTCCATCTTAATACTTAGAATACCCTAATTAATATAACTAGAGTAACACAGTATTTTGGAAGCAACCCTAGTTATACGTGTACAAAAGCGTCAAAGAACAGCATGCATGGCAATTTCCAATAATTTCAGTTTATAGAACAGAATTAGTATTTCCCCTAGAGTTATACAAATTGCTTCAGAAAATGAAAGAAGTTTGCTTAATACATTTTAAGTGTAGCACATGAAGACAGAGAATAGGTTTACCTATATTAACTGAATCCTCCCAGTCTTCCAGTATTTCCGTCACAGTAAGAACATAAACATACGTCCTATGCTTCCGATCCTGGTTCTGCTTGAATATTAGAAGTAGATGTTTTAATTCTCAGCAAAAAATAACTTACAGACTTACCACAACTATAGGATTAGAAACTACTTACCTCTGAAGGATACTTGCCAGCAAAATCTGGCTTTGATTTTCACTAAATAAACATATATACTGAGTAGGCCCAAAAGGATGGGAAAACTGATGTTTTATTTGAAACAACAGCTATTCTATTTTACTAGGCTAAAAAAAACACAACCCAAGCAAATTTGAAGATTGCGAAATTGGGACCAAACTATGTTCTTCGTCATTCAGTTTAATATTAGCAGTTGTCTACTAGTACTGCCCATTACTTGTCTTTTACGTATGTTCTAAGTTACCACAGTAGAGGGCATTTGCTAAAACTGTTTCCGCAACGCATGTTCCTAGATGAAAGGTTATTCAAAAAACCTTTGCAAGATGGAATCACTGTATCACGTGGCCAGATCATCTACGCAATGCCGGCTATAAAGTTTCACTCAGTAAGTGAGGCAAATTAAGTAGCCTATGTTTGCAACCATGACAAATGCGAAAATCATTACCATCTGTTCACTCGCCAGGTTTGCCATGTTAGTAGCACTAACCACCTATTTAGAAAGCACACACCTTTTGAACATGGCAAGCCAAAGACAGAGGTAGTCTGTTCAGGGCAGGGCTGCTGTGCTGCAGCCAGTCCATGCGAGCTCCGTGTAGACATTATTCCCTGCTCTCTCCAAAGCGGGTTAACAACCCACTCTTAAAAGGTGCTGCCCCCCACTAACCAAACCATACCACCCCTTGGAAAAGAACTGAGCTCCTAGAAAACCCACGACCATCTACGATTACAACTATATTAAGAACCAAGAGATGTTATGTCCTAGCTCCCATTACAGATGGTTTTATCCTTGTGCCAATAAACATTCCTACTTAACTCTGTTTCGCTACAAGCTTAGTATAATTTTAAACTGTTGTGCTAGGAAACTAGCACAAACTAGCATAGCTAGGAAATAAAAATACTCCAAGACAGCTGTTTGTCAATATCACTATTAAAGGGAGTAAATACACCTATTAAAAAAAAAAAAGGCATTTCTGGCTGTAGTTCCAGAACACAAGGACTCAGCAGCAACATCATTTTCATTTTCTCTTTACCTCCATCTCCAGGTTGCAATGTGTGGTCCCCTCAACAGTATTATCAACTGTTTGTGGGGCCATGTTGTAAAACTGAACTAGGGCCTTGATTTAAGTTAGCAGTAACCGACAGAAGTGCCACTCAACACATACTTTATCTCGTCTGGTCTAGATGGTGGTAGATAGCTTCAGAAGAACAGACAGCTGAAGTACCAAAGAATCATCACCCCTTGCAGCCCCTGTTCTAAGGTAACAAGATGACAGGTATCCTGTCTTTTTTTGGTCCGAGTTGGAAAATATTTAATACTTCTGCAGACTAACCAGCAGAGTTAAAAACAGACAAGTTTTTACTGTGTAGGACCATCCAGGTGTATTCATAAACCCGAAACAAATCAGAAAAAGGGCACAAGTATAGTGAACGCTACTAATTATAAACAGGAACTTCTCCAATTTTGTCATGGTTTCCATACTTCACAATGGGAACACCTTTCACACTGTATCAAGTAGTCATACATGACCAAGTAATATTTCACATAGGAAATCCCTATCAGGAATACACTGCCTCCGAAAGTTGCTTTTATAATTAAACTGTGAAGATTCATACCTAACTACTAGACTAAGAGACTTCCACTCTCATCCATCATACAGCACAACGTAATAACGTTGGATGTATTATGATCAGTAGATTCACACTTACATTTCTACAGTCTACTCCTGTCTAGAACCTGAGCAGAAGTGGGCAATGCCAACACTAAAGAGTTACATCTAGTATCCATCCTTGTGCTGTCAGTAGTTCAAGAGTCTGATGTTTACACTACAAAATAGAAGTTTTGAACTACACAGTATTGCTAAAGGTTAGGTTTATGTGTAATCCAAAGCATTAGCTTTTTTAGTGAATCAAAGCCATAATGAGATACTTCATATACAGACTATCAATTTAGGTGCGTGGAAGTTGGCAAGTTACTTCAGAAAAATCTAATCAAGAGAGGAAAAAGTCAGAATATTACCCCAAAAAAGGCATGTGCGACATTTCAGAAATCCTAGCTCTATCAATGGTTGCTTCACTTAAAAAAAAAAATACAGATATTGCCTGAGCACTAATTTAATCTTTCCAGGAAAATTCTAAGCACTTTAAAATCTTCCTAGTCAAACCTTCACACATCATGTAACAACTAAAGGAAAACACCTATCTAATGTAGCATTTCCAGTAGCATTGCAAAATTAAAGGCAGGTAATACTTAAGTTCCTACCTCTGATTCTGCTGTGCAGATATTAAGTTTCAGTAGTTTATCAGCTCTCAGAAAGAAAGAACATTGTTTTTAAAAGGTAAAAGAAGTAGCTCACCTCAAATATCCCAAGCAGTCTCCCTAGCTTTCCCTTTACTCCAGCCTACAAAACAAACAGGAAAGTGTTAACATGTGCTTCTTAATTAAAAAAAGAAACTAAAATATCAGTACCAGCCGCCTACATCAGCATAAGTGAATTACTCCTCCTTATTAGTGTTATTTAACCAAGTGTTTTAACATAAGTTTTAATTAGACAGTGCTGCATTGCTTCTGGAGTTTCTAGTTTTAGAGTATTTTGAGCACTAGCTTGTCCTAATGAGTGGATCAAAGAATGCATAAATCTTTCAAGTTTTCAGAATAAAATACTGGTTTACTTACCATGTTCTCTGCATACTGTATTTTATTAAACTGATAAATGACATCTAATACTGAAATAATCCAGGGAATTAGATAGGACAAGAGAGGATTTAAAGAAGTATAGTAATAAGTCTAGAGAAGGAATCATTACAACTCCATTGCTATTTTACACAGGAACTTAAGTCCAAGTCTTCAAAATACAGTAACAAATTAAACTTTAGGTTACTGGGTGGATATTGCAGCATAACAACTTAATGTACCCTAGTCTTCCTATGGAAGTGTAGCTTTTGGCCCATAAGCTTAAAACCAAATTTATATCCCCAATTCTCTAGAAACAGGTTTGAATTCTATTTTCCTGTTAGTAACATTAGAAAAGGCTTTGAATTTGGAGTTTCACTCCAACATTTTAAAACAACCCCTATGTGTATCAACCTGTGCTTAGTAAATTTTATCAATACAGTTAAGGTGGTCGTTATGTTCTAAGACTCTAGGATTTGTTTTTCCAAAAGTAATGTCTCTTCCAAAAGAAGTAGCTTCTGATCATCCATTTATTCTAAACAAATCCGAGTCTGTATGCCTGAGACATAAAAGCATATGTAGTCTGCTGGTAGACAAAGCCATACTTAGATTTATTTTTTTTTTAGCTCTTGTTGTATAACCAATATTTAAAATAGAGCTTCTTAGTGCTAAGATGACATTTCCCAGCCTTCAGTCTTTGTTTCCAGCTTTAACCAAAGAAAGTTACTGATGTCTTATGTCTTTTATATAAAGGACCATATGGATCTTAATTACATTTTAATGAGTAACTCTGACAGACAACTGGGCAGGCTTTAGCAGTAAGTCTAATCAAGATCTTGCAAGTGAGTGTTTTCTGTGTCTTTCTTTTTAAAGAAAGCAGATGGCTGGTGTTATTTATTAAGCAGTTTTGATGGAGGAAGTCTGATCACAGTCCCTGCATCTCAACATGCATTTTGCTGATCTAGAGCAACAGCTAGCTTAAAGTTAACGCAAAACTACACACAATATTCTTCTGGTCGTCTGCTGTGACAGCAGAGATACCTGTTAGAGCTCATGAAGCTGAAATACATAACTGGACCTGCTGGATAAGTGATTAGGCAGCACATTAATTATGAAAGTGACAGACCCTTATTTTGGTATAAAAGGGTCAACTATGCCACAACAGGCACTAAAGACTCCTTGTGCTTTACATTGGGTAATGAAAAAGCATTCATTAGCCTAAAGGAACACGTGCTGAAAAAATATTTAAGTTTTACCAATCAGTTCTAATTTCCTCAACATTACAGTATCTTTTAAAAAAGAGAAACAGAACCTAAAAGACTACAAACTTATGCTTCTGTCTCCCATTTTTGCCTTTCTTCTCAGGTGGCAATATCTCAGAATCACTGTATCCTTTAAGATTTCTACTTTGTGGCAAACTGAACAACTGAAATAGCACTTTTCCATCATCCTATTCCACCAGAAGTAACAATATGAGTCTCTGGGCTTAGTCTTTTTTTAATACTTCAGGTATCCAAGTCTGCAGTTTTAGCTGCACAAGTTTTGCAGTTTCTTCATTTCTTCCCTAAAGTTGCAGGAAAGAACAAGATTGTTTAATATCCTTAAAGATATGGCAAGATACAGCTTAACAGCATAACAGAAAGCCCAGTATAGACTCTGCAGGTTTCTCAAACTAACCCAAAAACTTCCAAGATTTTAGAACTCTTGAAGAAGTCCTCACCAAGGCCTTATTTACATTACAAAGATTTTTTTAAAGGCAGGTGTATGGCAACAGGACTGTTGAAGGACAAAGACACTTGCCCCGGAGAGATGCAGGAGACCTTCTCTGAACTGCTAATTGGGAGTTTGACAGTTAACTGATGGCCAACACACAGGTCAAACACCATGACCAGGTAAGTTTACCAATGTGGAACAGCTTTCCTAGAGAAGTTTTTTTTCAACTTACTAGTACCCCATAGTCACAATGTGACTTTGTCAGTGTTACTCTAAGTGGAATTTACTTAACAGCTTCGCTATTCTCCCTCCAAGCAAGTCAGCAGTTTAAACAAATACTCTTGGCTGAGTAATTCTGAATGAAACAACTAAAAGCACTCCATTACATTAAGTGTAAAAATTCCCCAAAGCTTGTAATGAAGCTTTTGTGCAAACAGTTGCTGCTATGTGAATGTGATTGCTGTCACTGATGACTAGTTACTCTTTAGGCAAAGATACGGGCCTCCAAAATGTAGCATCATTCCTGCAGACAGTAGTGTCTTTTGAGAACTCTACACATAAAAGTATAAACCGGTGGTAAGTAGGGTCTCATGGCTTTTCTCTGGAAGTAACATATTCAACTGAATCATCTTCACAGTTTAAAAAGTACCATTAAATTTACTGTGATTTTTTTTAAGTGCTTTTGCTAACAGAGCTATTTCCTCCAGGTTCTCACCTTAATGTAGTTCCACCAAAACGCGTGAAAATTAAGTGCTAGAGGACCAAGAAATGCTTCAGCTTTTTCCCTAGAAAGTCAAATAAAGTTCCCACTTTCCTAATCATAAGCTTCTAATCCAATACAATTAAGTTCTTAGAACTTTGAATGCTTTTGTCTCCAATAAAAATATCTTTCTTCCTTTGGCCATGATGTGCCCATGGCTGCTAAAATACAGTCCTTTAAATAAACAAAATCCTATAGGCTACAATAAGCAAGTGAGACAGTCTAAACTTTGGGAGAAAAGCCTGAAAAAACAGCATTTCTTCTGGCAGACAAGCTGTTGAATTAAGTGCTACACCTCCCCCGAAGGGTTCCCTAAGGAAGCCTATGAGTACTATGTCAACAAGGTCTCAAATGTGAATTTATGCAAATATTAGTCTAAATCCAACATCAAGAGGAAAAAAAACTGGCCACTTCATCCCTTAATCTTTCTGGCCTGGCGGTCCGTCATTGTTGGCAGCTCCAGCCATACTGCAGATACAGATGTGCAGTCAGACTTGCCTTTTGTGTCCTGTAGATGGAGCAAGAGTCACACTGCAGTTTAATTTTTAGGCTAACAGTCTACCAGAGTAGAAAGTTGCTTAAAATCTGAAAGATTTAAGAGTTATTTTTAACTGTGGGATCTGTTAGATAGCATTTTAACGGCTAGGATCCTGAAAGCACAGTGCAAGACTATTCCTGCCCTTTCTGGCATACTCTTATAAAACCCAAAGGGTTTAATTGTACCTGCTGCAATCTTTCAGCTGAAAGGATGTTTTATTTATTTTTTAAATTATCTACCTAGTCCTAATCTGTAACACCCAATTGCTTTTCAAGTATTAGATGCCCACTGGAGCACATTCCTCTATTTCATGCAAGAGGTCTTAGGTACTGCCATTTTCACTGTTGTGGCAGATTAACCTCCAGGATCAGCCTCTGCTCAGAATTCACACAGGTCTGGGAGAACTGCGTGTTTTTTTGGTAGGTATTTCAATATACTACTAAGTACAAACAAAGCCAGAGTCTCATTTCTTTGGTGAGATACAGGAAGAAAAGGGAGTGGGAGGGTGCTCCTTCCATTTAAGAGGCTGGACATCATCAGCTTGTCACCCTTATTATTTGTCATATTTCTCTTTGAACACCGCATGTGCAAACAACTCTTATTTCCATCATTCGTGCTACCCAATTAAAGATTAAGCTCCAAATTCATTAACAGAGTAGCTCCTCATTTACATGAGGTTTAGTACCTTTCTGGAATTGCTTCATACTCTAACCTAATTTTGGTACTCTACTTTGAGGTTTGTAAAAACTTACTGTACCAAAGGAACTTGACAGGTTATCTTAATTACTGTGACCCATGAAGTGGCAGACAAGCTTAATTGAAATTCATACTAAACATTTAGTCAAGGTAAAAATCCAAGTCACCAACACAAACAGAACTTAAGGATAAAAAAAAAAGTCTGGAGTTATGCACACAGGCAGACAGACTGGGACAACTGTAGTGCATATAGATTTAACTACAAAGATCTTTGCTTGAGTTTTAAAACAAGGATTTTAAGTACACAACTGTTGGTGGGAAAGTGAGGGATATTTAGAGTCATCGGGCTATCATATTGTGAGCTATTAGCACTCCTACCATTCATTAAGAAATGTCATTACAACTCCCACTATCAATTTCTCCATTTTAATAAATTAATGGAAAACGATGCTTAGTTTGTGCATGACCCAATACTGAAGAAACAGTTCAAACCAGTGCCACAGTGTGCCTCCTTTGAAGTTTATTCATTCACAAACTCGTAACAGTTCGCTGTACTGTAACCAGCTTGCCAGGTGACATTGACCTTAGTATAAAAATAGAAAGGACATGCATCTCTAGAAAGGTTAGTATGAATTTCCATGGCTCAAATCAAAGCCCTGAATACCACTGTGTCTTTTCTTTAAAAATGTCACTTTGCAGTCTCATGGCAGCACACAAGGCTCAGCCTGTAGCTTAAGAATATTCTACTTTAAGATATGAGCTTTTAATGCTCATTAGCTACACAAGCTATCAAACCCCAGGAACTCTGAAGCTGTATAACAAGTGTCACCAAATGATTTTTGCTTATTAAAGCCCCTACCTTTGAAAAAATCTTTATGCATTTCCAAACACAGCTCAAAGCTGAATACAGCTGGCAGTTTGTGCCTTGCTTGAGAACATCATAAAAAAAAAAAAGGCATAGCCATTGGAGTAGAAGTGAATAAAAGTTGGTTTAACTTCAGAGCAAAATGCCCCTGTGCTAGCACCACTCAAGAGCTTCTTATTTGCTGGGTTCTCCTCTTTACCTTTAGAATTAGTTTCTCACATGGTGTATAAACACTGATGTTGGCATTGAGTCATTTACAACATGCAGCTTTTCTATCATAAAGCCTCTTACTGAAATTTTGATGACAACACATATATTCTAAGCAGCTACAGAACAGCTTAACACACTGTCAATGGTTTCAGCTGGGATGGAGTTAACTTTCTTGCTAAGCAGCTGCTATAGTGCTATGTTTTGGATTTGGGATGAGAAATAGCGTTGATGGCACACTGGTGGTTTTGGTTGTTGCTAAGCTCTCAAGGCCTTTTCTGCTCCTCACACAGCTCCGCCAGCACATAGATGGAGTACACAAGAAGCTGGGAGGAGACACAGCTGGGACAGCTCACCCCAACTGACCAGAGGGATATTCCATGCCATGACATCATGCTCAGCATATAAAGCTGGAGGAAGAAGGAGGGGGGCATTCCAAGTGATGGCATTTGTCTTCCCAAGTAACCATTACGTGTGATGGAGCCCTGCTTTCCTAGAGATGGCTGAACACCTGCCTGCTGATAGGAAGTAGTGAGTGAATTCCTTATTTTGCTTCGCTTGGACGCGCAGCTTTTGCTCTACCTATTAAACTGTCTTTATCTCAACCCATGAGTTTTTCCTCACGTCACTGATTCTCTCCCCCATCCCACTGAGGGGGGAGTGAGGGAACAGCTGTGTGATTCTAGTTGCTGGCCAGGGTTAAACCACAGCACGTACAATACACTGAAAGGTAATTAAAGCATTTGCCTAAACTACATTTATATGCAGTTGGTTTTAAGAGTGGCTTTGTGTGACAGCGCTTCAACAAAACATGATCAAAAAAAAGAGCTCTGTACGAGTAAAGGAGGTTCACCTCTATCTTCAGGATTGCAAAACAGCCTAGGGTTGCCAAGTACTGCAATTCTTGACCAGAACCACCATGATGCATGGGAAAGTGTTTTGCTTTGCCCTGAAAAAGGAATGAGGGCAAGAACATCACTGCGCTACAGAAGGACTGCTTCACTTCATAACAGTAGGTACTCCTATTTTTCACTTTCCGACACCCCCCCCCCAGCATGAAAGCACGTGCAAAGGGAAAAAGAAAATTCAGAAATATCTAACATTTTTGTGTCTGTATGAACAGATACTGTTCACAGTGTCTAGGCAGTGTGTGCACTCTTGGGCTTTTACATTAACAGAGAAATTTGTACTAAGTTTATACTATATGATGTATCATCCAGTAATATTCTATACCCATTCCTCGTCTATCCCAGCTTAACCTTCTCCAACACTCATGGCCCATCCACTGCACCCCTGCAGAAATTTGCAAGCACAGCTCCAGCAAAGCCAGGACTTGGAAGCGTTCCTCAGAATATTCTCAGGGCAGAACCACGTGTAGCAGAAAACTAGTTATCAGCCCCCAGGTCACAACTCTCACTGTTACACTACTTTGCTAGGAAGTCAGCCTGAGACCTTTGTGCGTAGCACTGCATTCCCTGCAAGCTGAGACAGTAGACCATTCAGGCAGCTGAGCGGTGGTCAAACCCCCCCCAGCAACTTTGATGACATACTAACTGCAGACAGGTCTCTTCAAGATGATACGTTATTCACCACCACAGAAAAATAAAAAAACAAACCAAATGTGACTACAGTTCAGTCAGCTCCATTTGACAGAGATGAGATTTTACTATCCCTCATCTTGGACTGTGCCTTAGGTCAGGTCAGCGATTAACGCTACCAGCGTTCACAAGAAGCAGTGATCCTGTGCTTTTTAATCCCACCCATCAACTCGTGACAGTGGAAAGTGCCAGGACTCTCCCCAGAGGTGCTACTACTGCCTAGAAGCCTAAACCTTTGCTGACTCATTCCTAGAATCCTAATTTTTTGCTCCTTTCAAATGGACCACCTTGTGGCTACCTTCTTTGCTTTTACAAATACACAAGCACTTATCTGAGTATGTCTTGGGCAGCTTGAAATTGGCTCGCCCAGCAAACCTGGACACAGACAGAAAGTTTGGAATAACTTTGTATCAGTGAGGCTTATTTATGCTTGAGCCCTGCTGCATGAAGGCTGCTAAGAGCACTGAATGCTGAACTAGGCTGCTGTGCCTGGAAAAGGGGAAGAGGGTCACTGAATCACAGTTCACAAGAGATCTCATTTTGACACCAAATAGCAGGCACCATTTGGTGCAAGTTGCATCTACATCAAGTTCCCAAGCTTCTACAACCAAGCAGAACCAGCCGTAAGGGTAAACAAGCTAAACCACTAGATAGCACAGCTAATAAAAAAATCATTACACATACTAATTAGCAACAATATTAGTGTGTTTTGTGAATAGCAGTAGTCAAACCGGGATTAGAAAACTGTTTAAGACTAGTAGAAATCCTGTAGTTCACTCACTTGCCACAATGCATCTGCTTTCTGCAAAACCTTATACTTTCTATTTAAGACATATGATATAAAAGAGTTGATCTCTGGTCACTTCTGCACTGCATAATTTCTAGCTAACGCAAGTGACTCTGATCTTTCTTGAAGTTCTATTCATCTTACAATCCTGGCTGTAAGTAACATTTAACATTTTTAACAGTTTGCCTAGGAAAAATAAATAGCAAGGTAAAAAACCAGATTTTTGAATTTGAAATTTAAATGCTATACTACAGTGGGAAACTGCATTAATTCACCAAGACTTAAAGCTCCGTTTTGACTAGGAGTAGGGGCAGAGAAAGAAAGGCAGACTATACCTATGTGCTTTTTTTATAGATAAGCAGCCTTAAATGTACTTAACAAGGCCTTTTTATTGTTGAATTCTCATCTGCTCAGATACATCAGTTTCTAATCCATATAGTCTGGAATCTCCTCAAAGGTTTGTTTATTTCTCTTTCTTATGTAGCTACACATTAATGGTTAGTTCACCTTCAGTCTGTTCTAGAAGAGGTGCGAGTCAAACATTTTCTGAACACAAAGAAATGCTACACTACTATAATATGTCATTTGGCATAAAGTCACAGTTGCACTTCCAGTAAGCGTTCATAAAAGCAGACACAAATTTAGCTATGAAATGAGAGCATGCTGGGAAGCAAGCTAGTTAGTTCACCTCACCACACTATACCCCAATTCTAACACACAGAACTGCAGTTCTTCCAATTTCACAACTATGGAAGTCTCAAATCCTGGATAAAGGAGGTAGAATTCCCTCTTTCTTCTTGATTCCCGTCTGAAGATAACAGCTGCAGAAAGCAGCTGGAATTTTTTTTTTTTTTTGCTTTGTTTTTGTTACCTCTTCATACACCTCTCTGACAGCTGCTCCCCCTGGTTCTTCTTCTGGTTCCATTCCTCCACCCGGTACAATCCACTGATCTGGGTATCGGCTACTGCTTACCAACAGCACCTATAAATAATTGCAAATGACTGTTAAATATAGCTCAACTCAGGAATCTTAGTACTATTTACTTTTTCAGCAATGCACTTATTCACCAAGCCAGACAGATTATAGACTTTAGAAATGAAATATAATAGGCAATCAGGAGTTGCAAGAAATAAAAAAGAGTGACACTATTAACATCTAGTATTTTTAATACAACTAAGTCAAGACAATGTCATTGTAATCTCCTTGCACAAACACTCTCATCACTTGCTTAAGACACAATGTAAAAAATACACAAAACAATATGCACAAGAATGAAGACATAAAAAAAAAAATCCAATAACAGTATTCTCCAATACTGAGTAAGTCTTAGAGTCCTATAGACAGCAAAGTGTAAAAATTAAGACATTTTCATCACACAGAAGTTAAAATAGTTCTCAAATGGCATTGTTTGGCTAAAAAATTGGACCTTTGAAAATATTTCTAATTTTCAGCCTTAGACAAGCTTCTTTTCAGTAACTGAAGTGTTATGCTAGCATTGCACACTTACAATATCGCATAATTAAATTATCAGGAGAGTACTTCATTGGCCTTTGTCCAAGTTGGTTTCTTCTAACATTTCTGTAAGATGTAAAACTGCAACACATTGATTTTTAAATTATTTCTAAATTTAATAACATTTTTTTCCCCAAGACACTTTAATTTCACCAAACTCTACTCTGTAACCTGGTCATATCATTGATATAGACCAATTTAAAAGCCACTGCCTGCAGGACCCATCCTACATAATATTCAGAGCTGAAAAGATTTTAGCAAACTGTCCAAAAAACTAGGATGCCTCAGATTTAGAGTAATTTGCAGTCAAAGATGATGAAAATAAAGACTTCATTCAGGACCACATGGAAATAAACAGTTTAACTTTTATTTGAGACACGTCCTGATTAGTAAGACATACTCAATCATCTCTGTAGTAACACACTTCATATTCCAGGCAATACTTAGAGAAGCCCTACCCCGAAGTCAAAGGACAACTCTGGGGAGCAAAGGGACAGGGTCAGTGCTCAAATCTTTAAGAGCAATTAAAAGACTAGCAACAAGAACCTTAGTCTAAAGGTTAAAGTACTGACTGGGACCAGATGACTGAAGTAACAGTCCAGTCCTCACCAACTACCTTTATGGTCCTTTAAACTCATCTCCTGCTGGATTAAATAGGAAAACAATTCCCTGATCAAGGCAACAGGGAAGTGCTTAACACTTATACTACGTCCCTTTGGCACTCACAGAACTGCAGTGTAGGTTCAGCTACAGAAAACTGCGGAGTGTAACTGAGATGACTGCACACCTTTGTGAATGCAACAATACCTGTGCATACTGAGGTGCACCTAGAAGAGCAGTATCTGACAGATATTTTCTTCATGTAGTGTTTATTTTATCTGCAGTCAAGATCTGTCCTATTCTGAAGGATTCTCCACTGTACTAATTTCCCCCCAATTTTTCCTACACTAAATAAGGAACACAGCAGAGACTTCATTTAGTACGGAATCATTCTTAGCATCTGATCCAAGTGTTCACATTTTCAGTCAACTCAAATATTTTATTCAGCTATTTAAAATCCTAGAAATAGTCAGCAAAGGCAACAAGATCAGACATAAATGCGTCTCAACTTGATCCTTACAACCAAAGGTTTTAGTTCCCTAGGATTTTTTGATATTAACAAAAAATTCCCAGATGGTACACAGCTCTACTAAATGTACTTTTAGAAAAAGTTTTTGAACACGTAAGTGTAGTACCAATATCACTACAAAGAACCACTGTATCAGCTATGCTTAAAGAGCAGTTGTAAAAATCAAGTTATGGATTCACTTGTGGGATCCCAGACACAAGCATTACACATTACTTTCTGCTGATGAAACTAGCACTCGCTGCAGTCATGTGGAAGCTAGCAACAATGATGAACAAAAGGATGATTATATCACATTAAATCATTCCCGGCTTGGTAGAATGGTTTTAATCAGCATTCATTGTTTAGTTACGGCTAAACATAAAATTCTTAATTACTACTAAGGGATAAATCAGGTTGCTGGTTCTGGCAGTGTAGCATAAAGCCAGGAATTTTTTATGCCTTTATATGTAATAGTTGACTACTGCCAACCTGATCAATGGTCTATTGAGCTGGACTTGTATATCTACTAGTTTTAAATCACCCTTTTAAAAAGCAGAAACAACTACATCTAGCAAGTAATCAACATTAAAATACATAAACTCTGGTAGATAGGTTTTACAGCTTTACATACAATAAACTCCCCAAGGTTACAGCCTGGGAGTTCATTTTGGCAACCATCCAAGTCTCCACTAACCTGGGAACTGAAGCATTTTCTCAAGCATTTTCCCCTCTACGTTTTAGTCTCCTGTGATCCCACTGCTTTTACAGTCTGAATCCAGGGGACCACACTAAGGTATATCCCCAAGACCTTCAGATGCACAATTTTTCCCTCCCAGTAACATTAACATTTGAAGCCACTAGGGCATGAAAAATCCTTTCTGGGGTATGCTACCAAATAATGTATTCAGTGGCAATCAATTTCTACCAAAGCCAAGAGCTGATAGCCATAGCTAGCAATTACAAGATTGTGTGGTAAGGCTGAAAAGCACTCCACACAGGTTCTTTCTGTTAGGGTGGCAAGCCATCTTGCACTCACTTGCACGTTTTTGGTTTTGGTGTGTTGGTTTTATTCCATGTAGTGGATGCAGTTTTCATGTGCTTCCATCTGTAAGCAGCCAGAAGACACATACCACAGTACCTGAATGACTAGGCTGTAAATATACAGATCACTTAAAAATGAAGACACTAAAAAGCTGCGGTCGGTTGACAATGCACTCAGGTGCCAAAAGAGGTGCAAAATCAGCAGAAAAAAAGCAGCAATTAATCTTCCCTTAATATAAGGTAGGCAAACTAGGAGAATAGGTGGTCTAAGGTTCCTGGACATCCAGTCTTTTTTGAGAAGGCTCATGTTGACGCAGATGACAGTCATCTACAAAAGAGACAGGCTGCAGAGTCTCACACACCTACATTTTTTTCTGGCCTACGCACACCAAATTTTACATCATAGGCTCAGAAGAAAACAACCAAACTATGCAGGGAAATCTGTATCCTGTATCTCTGAATGCAGAGAAAGGAGTGAGATTTCTTGTATTGTATTACTTGCAAGTGATCACTGCCCTCCCCATGCCTCTGAAAAAAGCCTTGTTATTGATGACTGACTCATTTCTTCAAAAGATTTCCAGAGTAACGGAATCAAATCTGCTTGCCTAGTTATAATGTTAAGTTTATCTTATTCCGAAGGCTAACGTAAAGCTATTATTTTCTATAATACTGCCAAGTGAAGCAGTAAAGCTGCAAAACTCAGCAAATATAAGAAAAAGAAAATTCCACCACTAAGTCTTACCAGCCAAGTTTTTACCTTGTTTTCAAGACTGAGAATAGCAATAACCTTTGAGTGCAGTGAGGAAGAGAAACTGCTAACCAGTCTACTTGTAATAAGCACCTATCGATACGCTTAACCAAGATACGGTTAACCAAAACCCCAAAGGTAATTACAGAGCACATGACATCATGGGACTTGCTCTCTATAAATGCTAAGCCTGCAGACAAACAACTGAAAATTTCTATAGAAAGATGCCAAAGTTTTGTCCCATTTCAAGTCAAAAGCAACTTTTGCAACAATTAGCAGCCATATATTCCAGAAAACTAAAATGGCAACAGCTCAAAGTAATACAAATTACAACCAAAAGCTATTCTTCCTTATATATTTTTTTCCATATCAAGCACTCAAAGAGGTAGAAAATGACTCAAGGTTATACAAAATACTATTGCCTTCTATCTTCCTTAACTGTGGGGCATTACAGCTTACAAAAATAATTGTATTAAAATCAGCTTACACTAAAAAAAAAAAAATAATCATGGTTAAAGTTGAAACTTGCTAGACAGAGCAACCCCCCCCAATGGTTGGATTCTTTGACTCGAGAGCAGAGTCATCCACAACAAACCAACTGCAAGATTGAAATTTTTCCTTAGTGAATGTATTCCTTGCAAGGAAAAAAGTACTTACAGTTGAACAGGTTCCACGCCAGTTCCACAGAAACTACTGATTTTTCATTAGGTATCTACACAAGCTCCCTCCTCCCAGCCTAATCACATCTATTCCTCTCTTATGCACTACACACTCAGTTTTCTCCCTTCTCATCACCCCCACTAATCTACTAGCTATGTCCAACTTGATGGTTGAATTACCTGATGGAGATAGCTAAGTTTGCCTTTTTCTCTAGTAAAACTGGCAGTTAAAAGGAACAACTTTCAAGAGGAACGGAATCAATGCCTCGTGCCCAAAAGACCGGTGAACACGTGGCGCTCAGTTGCAAAGAACATGGCATTGCTCAGGTGTATGACTTAACACCGTGCAGAGAAGGAAAGGAGAAGGCAGGTGCATGGAAGATGAAGGATTTAGCTCCCAACCTCTGTGAAGCCAAGTACACGTGAACGATTTCAGAAGCTTTCAGCTGGTCAAAGTATAGGAAAAATCTTAAGGACGGCAAGAGGTACCTGTTAAGTACAAAAAGAGTGTTAAATGCTACTACAGAGAACAGATGAACTGTATGTTCCCACAGGTGCCAGAAACATTAGGAGGCAATAAAAAAAAATATCCAACCCTGTTCTGAGGAACAGGACCCACTTTGATGGAAGTTAATATAATCTACCTTAGCACACTCAACAAGGAAAACTTCAAGTTCACATGGTTGGTCTGCCAAAGTTACAAGCACCTGAAAGAGTCAAAGATGGTTAAACCCAAATACAGCCAAAATGGTCAGTCAAACCCTATGATTTGTTTGAAAACTGCCATAACCAGATGCTCAGGGAAGGATATGAGCAGGAAATATTTCGCTATTCCCTAAGACTTCCAACTTCCAATTGTTTTCAGCTCAGGAGCTTCCTTAAAAGCACTGGGAAACTATTTTGAATGCT